GGCTATTATGTGGGGGTACCCGTAGGTCCTCAAGGGCCATCCTATGGTGGTACCAATAGGTCCTCATGGACTATCCGATGGGGGTACCCATAGGTTCTCAAGGGCTATTATGTTGGGGTACCCGTAGGTCCTCAAGGGCTATCCGATGGGGGTACCCATGGGTTCGCAAGGGCTATTATGTGGGGGTACCCGTAGATCCCCATGGGCTATCCTATGGGGGTACCCATAGGTTCGCAAGGGCTATTATGTGGGGGTACCCGTAGGTCCTCAAGGGCTATCCTGTGGGGATACCCATCGGTCCTTCAGGGTTATCCTATGGGGGTACCTATCGGTCCTTCAGGGTTATCCTATGGGGGTACCCATAGGTCTCCAAGGCCTATTATATGGAGGTACCCATTAGTCCCCAAGGGCTATCGTATGGGTTACTCATAGGTCCTCAAGGGCTATCCTAGCGGGATACTGATTAGCCAGCAAGGGCTATTATATTGCGATACCCATAGGCCCTGAAGGGAGTAAGGCAATAGGGAGATAAGGCTGCAACGAATATAAGGCTATAAGGTCGAAGGCTACATTGCCTATAAACATATGTGCGATATGAGAATATGAGGCCGTAGGGCTATCTATCTATATACATAATATCGAGTGTCTGTATGTATTTTGCCGGATGAAAAGTCAAATGTGTGAGATCATGCGTTAAAGGGCATAAGAGCCGTGCAGTATGCACGGGTTCTCGCTAGTTTCATTATATTTAGGAGTATTATCGAAGCACCTTTTATCACATATTCTGATATTCAAATTGGTAGTTCAGTTAAAGTAATTCATCAGTTTTTTTTTCTTTTGTTAATGTTATATTTAATAAATAGGGTTCAATAACTCATGTTGATGAAAATGGTTTGATTATAAATTTAACCAAATATATTAATGGTTTTGTACCAATTATTCATAATGCTGATATACCAATAAAAGAAACATTAAATAAATTTCCATTAAAGTAAAAAGTTCAATGTCGAGTAATGGATTTTCTTGATGAAAATTATTTAATAAATTAAACAAAAATTTCTTATAGGTTTTACAAATTGATCCATCATGTCAATGATTAATATTAACAATGAAAAAATCTTTAATAAATACAAAATTACCAATTGTTTCTTCATATAATGATTTACAAGTAAATCTTGTAACAATTGGTGTTATTACATCAATTCAAGAATATGGTTTACTTGTTAAATTATTTGGAGATTTATGTAGTTTAGTACCAAAAAAAGGAAATCGGACAATTACAAACATTACCAACGACAAATATTAAAAGTCAATTACAACAGATGTTCTATATTGGACAAACTGTATCATGTAAAGTGCTGAATTTTGATAAAGAACAAAAGAAAATTACATTAAGTTTGAAAGTAAATATACACATCTTCAAATAAAGTCTTGATAAAGGTCCCAATTGAATAAGCGAATTAACGGTTGATGAAGCCTTGGAAAAACTTGTCCAACTCATCTTGCATATACAGCGATGTCTAACTCGGATAAGTCATTTGTCCTTTGAAAGTTCTATCAGATGACGAGGAAGAGCTTGCTAGAACGAGAAAATATGTATCACATACTCTTTTTTTCTACTTCGTTGTTCTTTATTAGCATGAGGTAACAATACGTAACTATTGTCACCGCTAGAATTAAGTAGCGATACGCATAAGACCAATATCTCGACAAGAGCAATAGCTAATGATCTGGACTTTCACCAGTCGAAAGAGATAGAATCGAGCGGTGTTTTTATATAATATTATTCAAGATGAAATCGTTGCCAAACTAATCATTTTTGGAAATGTTTTCGACAAATGCATAATAATGCAATGTAGTTCCAATGAAATTTTCAATCTGAGATGTATATTGGATATAAGAAATTCAGATCTATAGTGCAAGACACAATTCAAATGGTCATCTTCTCATATTCTAAAGTTGAGCAAATGAATTCGGCCGTTTGCTTGCCAAAATAATAGGGAATTATGTTGATTGTTGACCAAATTTTCTTACTTTTTATCAAATTTTCATCGGAACAATAAGCCATTTTGATGAGATGTAAAACAATTTTAAGTCAACAATCAACGCAATTCTCTATTATTTTACTAGCTATTGCCCTTGTCGAAATATTTGTCTTACATGGACCTCTACTTAATTCTGGCTCTGACAACAGTATGCTGTCTGTTAAATGGTGGTAGAACGGTCTTAGATTCTGTGTGTGAGAAAAAACCTATCGCTGCAATAATAGAAATTTTCAGGGGACAGAAAAAGTGATCACGAGAACTTGACCTATTTCGGACACAGATGTACAATAAATCTCACAAGTAAATTCCGACTTCATTGTATGTTATGAGAATACATCCAATGTTTTGAATTTCATAAAAATATATTTATGTGTCTGTTGATAAGATAGTCGAATTTACATTATTCATAATAATTTACTTTTCAGGTTCCTGGAAAAGTGACATTTGGTAGTAAATTAGTACCAGTACCGGCTGATTTTTCCATTGGAAAAGTAAGTCATTTCATTGTTTTTGATTGTATAAAAGTAAATTTTTGCTTAGGTTATTCAATGAAGAGTAATTGAATGTGAAAATGACGAATATTTAATTGGCAATGTTATTACAGAACGTCGACGAAAACCCATAACAGTAACATTAACACGATATCATACATCAGATTTTGTTGAACATCAATCTGCATTAATGCGTTTGGATTTATCATCAAATAAAGATAAACAACGTGATGAAATCTATTGGTCTCATTTATCTTATATAAATATTTCTATGAAAAAAATTTTAAGTGAATTTTGTTGACGATCAACTCTTCCATAAAAATCCAAAGATTGCATCGTAAATTTTCTTTTTTTTCTTTTTTATTCTTTTTTTTCATTGAATCTATTCTCAGGTTTGATCAATTGTCCCAGGTGTTGATCAAAATATTTTTGAATATGGTCTTTTTATTGATTTACCAAATACAATTATCGCATTTGCTCCACATAAACATCTCGATTTACATGGAATATTAGAAAGTATAGATAAAAAATATCGAAATGGTAAAACAGTATTCGTACGAATCTTACAATTAGATGAAGAAAAAAATCGTTGTATTGTCTCACTTAAATCATTAATATATGATGGTGAAATAGCACAATTAAATCAATCTGATTATGTATTAAGATATTATCTTAATGAAAAATAGCAATTAATTGAAGATATGAAACACAATGGAACGGGTAAAAAATTAACATTATTGAATAAAAAAAAAAACAACTGATTGAATTGATTTAGGTCCATTATCAAAATTTTTTCAAGAAATAAATCAATGGATTGGTTTTAAATGTCGATGTTTAATTGAAAAACGTCTTGATGATTGGTTTATAGGTCGATTAGAAAATGGTCTTCCAGCTAGTTTACCATATGATCCACATTATTCTACCGGAGATTCAATTGAAGGTTATATTATTGATTTTAATTTACCATCAGAACAATTTGTCATTACAATTGATCTTAAAAAACCGATTAAATATTCAATAGATTCTTCGCAAACATTTCCACAATGTACAATTCTTTGTCAATTACCATCATATGCTTTAGCGATAACTGAACATTCAAATCATCTTATTCATTTACCAAAATTTTCTGATTTAAGTTCAATCTTTCGAATCCATTGACAGAAAAAAAACGCAAATCATCCAGGTCATAGGAAGTGAACCAAAATTGACGCTAGCCAAACTGTAGTCCGGCGTCCGCGTTATACCAATATGTGTATATATATCATAAGATATTACCGACAGCTGTCGCTATAAGTGAGTTATAGGTTAGTTGCGTTAGAATTCAAAATGAACTTCTACACTTTTTAGTTCATTACATTTCAATAGCATACAAGATTTTTCTGAGTTCTATGACAAATTTAAAATGCAACGTTCTAAATTCAAGCTAATTAAGCTTTGTATATAATTTATTTGTAAGTGCTGAGTGACAATATTATTATCAGCATTGAGAATAAATTAAGTCTATGTGAAGATATATCAAGATTTGGTAATTTGCGCATCATTTTTTTACAGTCGGCGTTTTATTGTAAAAACTATGAAATCCATTTAGATTACAAGTACAAGTGAAAAAGAAATCATATAAAAAACAAAATTGACGAAAAAAAGTTACAAATAAAAAATGAATTGTCATTTATGAAATTTCATCTATTTTTTTGTTATCTGATGTAGATGATTGCACCGGTTTAATCTAAAAAATAGGTAAAAGTGTAAAGTAATAATTAAATTATTAGAAATCTAGTAAGTAACTTATGTATATTGAAAAGAATCCATCACTATCGAAAGAAAATATTTCAGAACACCTTGTACATTAGAATAAGATAACATTCGCATTTTCAATTGAGAATTTTGAATCCGATTCTAAAAATATATAGAATATTAACATAATTTTATGTAAAAATGTATGTAATAGATACAATCCACTATCAATGTATCTATAAAATGAAGAATAAGTTCAATACGATATTCTTCATAGATTTATAATCACGTTTCTATTAAAAACAAATTCGAGGGTGAAAGAATAACAATAGTCTCTGAATGGAGCACGCTATCTTATTGCAAGTCTTCTTTGATATTCTGAATAGTATGTTTCTGCACAAATAATATGTGATCATTCTTTTATATATCAAATCATTGTCATTGCTTTCTCTATGCTACGGTTACATTTATTTCCTAAATAATCAGTGTGTTCTGAAAAGTACTCTAATTGATCTACATTTACACGCTATAAATAACATTTATGTGTTGAAATTTACATAATTGTAGAGCCGTTGTATGATTGTTCTTCAATTTCTCTTCGTTTCATTTCAATCGTAGAAAAGAACATTATTGAAATTTCCTTAATACAACATGTCTTGTTCCACGAATGTTCGTAACAAAAGTATTTCTGCTCATTTCTATAGTTTTATTTGAGACAGAGTGCTCACGTTGTCTTTGATGTTTTTCAGAAAATTATGAGAGCCATATACATGCAGTATTTTTAATTGGCCATCAAAGAAAATTAAAGAAATTTATGCTTTTCTTTTCTTGATGAATTTCAAGCGTCGGATCAAGTGAAAACTATGCATTCACGTGTTTTATTTTTTTTCTGATAGCAAGAAATTAGGCATTCGTCAACAGTAACGTATATGTAAGAATCATGAAAGTGGATACAATTAACGTTGATTCTACTCAAAACCAAGAGAATAAGTATTATTTACTCTGAACATATAAAATTTAAAAAAACTTCAACATAAGAATAATTGAAATTCTATTTTATTGTAAACAGCAGATGAGAATCATAATATGCTGAAGCAATGCTTCAATTCATCTAAATTTGGTGAGAAATAGCCTCAGTGAAACATCAACAGGGTTCGTGTTTCATTTTATTAAAAATCAAAGCTTCACTGAACAACTATTTAGAGAAAATAATAATCAGTATAGTTTCCTATGTTTATGGGTCTCATCATTTTTCTAAAAAATGATCAAACATAACATGAGCATGTCTGTCTCAAATAAAACGATAGAAATGAGCAGAAATACTTTTATTACGAACATTCGTCGAACAAGACATGTTGTATAAAGAAAAATTTCAATAATGTTCTTTTCTACGATTGAAATGAAACGAAGAGAAATTGAAGAACAATCATACAACGGCTCTACAATTATATAAATTTCAACACATAAATGTTATTTATACCGTGTGTATGTATATCAATTAGAGTACTTTTTAGAATATGCCGATTATTTAGAAAGCATATACTACAGTAATAAATGAGACAGATGATAAAAGGCTTGATAAGCTGGACGAACCAGAAATTTTTTACATCAATACTAATAGATGTTGTTTCGAATATCAGACATGATCATTATGCAAATTTTACTTCTGTAGGTTTCTGTCTCGAATGGTCTTGTCTTTCTTTACTGAAGTTCATACTACTTTATTTGTTAAAATTTTTCTACTTAATATATTGCTTACATATACTATGTAAATCATTATTCGATAAGCATTGAAGGAATAGAGCAGCATCGGCTAGATATTGAATGATGGAGTTCATCTAGTCAATATTTAAGTATTTTTGCTCCATGTATATTATTGAGATCAAAACCATGAACAAGTGATTGATCATTCCATTTTCAGCAGGGATGATGTTAATGGAATATTATTATGAAAAAGTTTCTTGAAATACTTCAATGGCTTTTGAAATACTTGTGGTTAGATGTTTGACTAAGTTTGATATAGATTAAGAGAGACAAAAGTATAATAAACAAAATAGCCAACTAATGATTTATTTCACTACTAGCATTAGATTCATTAAGTTGGTCTAAAAATGATAAATTAATGATGGTGAATGATGAAATATTCTTTCTAAACATTCTATAGAGAAATAAATTCTAATTTTATAAGCCTTAGTTCGCTTACATAATATTTTCTTCATCAAAATCACAAAGTACAACGTCAGCATCCGTAAGGATGATGATGTAGTGAATTGTTTATCGGAAGTCAAAATATGTATATTACTATATTGGCTTGTGGTCAAACAAGTAGCAATTCTTTGACTTTCAATTAATGGAAGTGGTGATATAGGTGAAATCATTTGTTGAATGAACCCATGGAAATAAAACAATATCTTCTAAATTCAAACTATATTACACCGACTGCATTAGTTTTAAAATCAAGATTTTTTTTTGGTTTATTTTCATTCGATGCTATAATATTACGAAAAAAGTCAGTTGCTACTTGCTTTAAATTTTGATTGTTTTGAATATATACGCGCAAGAATAAATGAAACACTATATTCAACGGTCACTAATGCAGAATCGATATCTTCTGCAATTTCTTTCACACATTGTTCAAGTAGACATTCAAATGTCATTCATAATTTGGTGCTAAATCTTTTTTTTAAAGTTACTTGATCATTGAATAAATCTTTATTGATTCGATCAATATTAAAACGGTGCATCTACGCAGCTAAATTAATTGTTAAAGATTCACACAATTTGTCTCAAGCATCACAGTTGCAGCTCTATGTTAAATTCGTTGATGATAACAATGCAATTGACTATTATTCTTGGTACGTTTGATCTTACGAATATTTAATAGAGCTATTGCGAATTTCGTATAGATTAACCAAGTTTTATGAAAATAAATTAATACTGTACTTATGAAGAAGAGATTCAGAAGTTCGATCAAAAGATTAATGAAAACAAAAGCAAATTCAAGAAGTTGTATTTGCAGCTGTTATTGTCAATGACTCATTGAGAAATAAGAAAAGAAAAACAATAGACATATTGTGGTAAAAAGAGGACTCGAATTTGGTTGGTTCATTCGGTCTATATGAAGTGAGCAACATTTCTTTGGTTAACATGTTTGGTTCACTTCCTATGACCAATCATCCATTATTTCCTACGGAAATGAAACAAATTAATTTAATACAAAGATTTTATCCAATTGACGGAAACGCTAGAAATATTCTAGCGTTTGGCGCTAGTTACATAAAATAATCTAAATATGATAGAGGACAAAGTGAACGAATTTTATTTTTCTTATTGGCAATTACTAAAATTACTACACGATCATTTAATTCTATCTATTGTTTTAATAAAATTTAAAAAAATGTCTTTAACTGGTGATGATGCATCTATTGATCCTATTGAAGCTGAAATACTTTCGGTTCGAGCTGTAAGTAAAAAATGGGAATTTTTTCCTAACTATATTTTTGATAATTTAGATGTGGGAAAAACTGGACACTTTCTTACAAGAAATTCCATTTTTTAAACAACTTGGTTTGGAAAAAATAAAGAGAATTTCTGAACGAGGTGAGATGAAAGAATGTCTTGTTGGTGAAATACTTGTACGTCAAAATGAAATTGCTAATTTATTTTATATAATATTACAAGGTAAAAAAAATAACAAGTTTTTTCGATTGATAAAGATTTACGTTTTAGGTCAAGCTAATTGTTATACAGAATCTGATGGTTCACTTGTTCCAATGGCTGTGTTAAGATGTGGCGATTTCTTTGGGGGCAAAAGTTTATTTAATAATTTGCCCAGTGTAGCAACAGTTGAAGCTGAAGATGGTCTCATTTGTTTCACTATGACTGATCGAGCTTTTCAAGAAGAATTAACACCTGTTATTAAACAGCTTCAAGAAGCTGCTAATCAATATCGAATGTTTATCGAGCAACAGATTTAAACTCATGTTTTATTATAAGACATTTTGTTTTTTTTGTGCTTTCAGTTTTTTTTTGTGCTTTCAGTTTTTTTTGCTTTAAAACTCTTTCATCTATAAGGTTTATCAAAAAAAATTTCAAACAGAAAAAGAAAAAAGAATTCTCACTTTATTTCACTTTTTATTAACTTAACACAAATATGAGCAGTCTGTAGCTGAAAAATGGAGCATCAGACAGAGATGAACGATGGTCGTTCTAAATTATGAAAATATTTATTGGACTGAATAAAAAAAAATTAGTGTGAGATAGCACAATATTGATTGAGACAACACTCATAAGACACGAACTATCCATGTCTTCCTACACCCAGAGGCTTACTTTATATTTGTGAATTGTTTAGAAACTTCTGTGATGAAGACGTTGAGCAGATCATTTCAGCACATGTCTAATAAGAGTTTTATTCGACGATC